GGTCATAGGTTTCACTGGTTTCAATCTATTTGTTCTCATTCTTGTCCTAGGGGCTAAATCTTGTTTTTCCTACCTCCCTGTTTCTGAGAAAAATTATTTTGCCTATTTGCCAAAGTCCTGAATATAATATTGAATGTATTTGCAATTACTCCCTATAATTTTTTGTCAACAGACATTGCTTTTCATTAGGAAATAACTCAAGAGAAATTTTGGGTCTTCCTCATACAAAAGGAAAATCTTCCAAGTCAGTTTTTTTTTTTTTTTTTTTACCTGCTTGTGCATTGTGCATTATGTTACATCATTAGCCTGATTTTTATCGTACAATAAATTTCTCTTCCTTCAAACACCAGATCTAAACCTCATAAATCTTGGTCCTTGTGTATGCATTAGTGAATTTTGAATGTACTGTTGTCAATATAGTAGCTGTAACTATAAAATGTAACAAAGGAAAAGTTGAAGGTTTGTGTTTTTTCTTTTTGTTTCCCCACTGAAGTAGAAAGACAAAGCCAAAAAGGCAGGCCTAGGGGTTGTTCTTTTGGACCAGCAAAGTGCTTTTAAAGCAGTTTCATCTAGCAGCATTTATGTACTTTTTTTGGAAACAAACACCATATTCATGAAACAAATATTATTTTTACTAATAGAGCACCACAGAAATTTGTATTCAAGAAGATTAATTTTTAGCAGAGTATATTTAAGCCTCATTCCAAGATATCCAAAGATGAAGATGGACAAAAATCGCGCTATTTTTACAGATCATCAGTCGTTCCATACATAGTCGCCTGGATTCAGTAGCATATGCAACTTGTGAAAAATGCAATTCTAAAGACCAACCTCCGGACTTACTTAATCAGGGAACTCCGTCCAGTCAGGCTCTGAATTGTTGGTTTTTTGATAAGCTGGCTGGCCTGGCAAATGCACTACTCAGATGTCCTGTCAACATGGGATCAACAAGAACTAATGGCCCACTGATGCCCTTTGGATCTCTCCCTACTTTCATAAATATTGCTCCTAGACAATGACTCAATACGTGTAGGTATACTAAAGGAGTGTATTTCTACAAAGATGTAGGACTCTTTTAACAGGCAGTTTTGGTCATTGTAGCAGCTTGCCAAGGCATTCTTAGAACTCGCTCTGCGGTCTGAGACCCCTTTATTTCCTTCTCCCTCACTGGGGTCACTCTTACATCTTAATCTGAATGGCTTTCCCCTCTTTCTCTGTGCTTCTTTTCTCTTTATCCTGAGCATGGCATCCCTTCAATGCCTGTCTCTTGCATCTCTAAATCCATTTAGCATGAATTTATCATAAGACCCTAATAACCCAAGTGCTATTAGGAAGATGCCTCCACGGAAAAACCGAGAGGTTGTTGGATGGAGTTTTTGGAGAACCTAAACTAACGCTCAATCTCCTCAGGCATGTTGATGCACATCAAAGTTTGAGAACCAGTGCTATAGATTTTTTCCATTTTCATCATAGTTATCAATACTTAGTGGATCACACACAGCTCTCATCTTTAGGGAATTATCAAGTGCTTTGTACTTACTTGAGGGTATTGGTCCTTAGAGGCTGATTGAATTCAAGAGGAAATTGACAAAGACACTATTTAACTGCCTCTATTAAATTTTGGCTCAAACTGAAGAGCAAACAAAACTGAAACTATGCTCTCATAAAAAGACATATGCTGCTACAGAAATCTTATAGAAGGTAAAGAGAATAAATCAAAAGAACTCCTTGAGAATAAATGAGCTCTATGGAATGATGAAAACAAAAGTGTATTTTTGTTTCAGAATTTTAGTTGCACAACATTAAATTATCCTTCTATGTGATCCTTCAAAGGACTATTGTTCTGAATCCTTTTATTTATTACGTTACTCAGGTTATTGCATTCACAATACACAAGGTCATAGCCATGACTGTGCAATGTTCGAAGTGAGAACATATTCTTTTGACAAGCCCCTGAATGATCATTCATTACATGTGAAGTCTTGGAATTTTACCCTTTTTACCTTATAAATCTTATAAGAAATAGAGAATAATTTAGAAATCTCATTGAAAATATGCAAAGGGAAAATATCCCCAATTTTTAAAATAAGTACGCTGTGAAAGTGTGAAGAAAGATAATTACAATATTTTCTCATTTTCACATGCTGCCTGCAGAAGTTACTTCTCAAAGAAAGAAATATTTTTAAATGCAATTTGATATTGTATTGATGTAATGAATCACTTAAAACTTGGTTTTTGTCCTTTGTAGTCAAGGATGGCATGGTATACCGTTTGCTAGAAATTGTTTTATACTCCATAATCATGAGAAACTGGAAAATGCCTACTCTGCTAACCAGCTATTTTCTAAATTAAAATTTATTCCATCATCTTGGTAATGGAATTACCTTTATGTGTGTGTGGTGTGTGTGTGTGTGTGTGTTTTCGGCTTTCCATTTGTAACTTTAAAAAATGGATTTTTAATGTAATAATTTCACTGAATAGCTCACTTAGCAAATGGTGGTATTTATAAAGCTAGCTTTACTACAATAAACATATTTGATAAAATGTTTGTTTCAATTCTTTTTGATATTTAAGTAGAATTTGACAATCATATCCTGTATCTCAATCCTGACTTCCCTAGACCAGGTATTTTGCACCCTTTTCATTAGAGAATTTTTTTTCAAAAGAAAACTTTATTATTATTTAATAATTGTTATACAATTATAATAACAATCATTACTTAATAATTGTTATATAATTATAATAAAAATGACCACTAGGAAAACCAGGTCTCATTAAATGAAGATGAGATGTGATAAGCATATCTGATTTAGATTATTTAGACAATGAGATTTGAAATTTTGGGGGTTGATTATATTTGATAAGATTTGGGAAGTAAAGCTTTTTTTTTTAAATTTCAGCATATTATGTGGGTACAAATGTTTAGTTTATGTATATGGTCTTTGCCCCACCCAAATCAGAGCTTCAAGCATGTCCATCCCCCAGACGGTGCTCACCACACCCATTAGGTGTGTAATTACCCATCCCCTCCACCCACCATCCAATATGCCCAACGCCCAATGAATGTTATTACTGTATGTGCACTTAAGTGTTGATCAGTTAATATCAATTTGATGGTGATTACATGTGGTTCTTTTTTTTCCATTCGTGGGTTCCTTCACTTAGTAGAATGGGTTTCAGCTCTATCCAGGATAATACAAGAGGTGCTAGATCACCATTGCTTTTTTGTGGCTGAGTGGAACTCCATGGTATATATATACACCACATTTTATTATTCCACTCATGTATTGATGGGCATTTGGGCTGTTTCCACATCTTTCAACTGTGAATTTTGCTGCTATAAACACTCTAATGCAGATGTCTTTTTTATAGAATATCTTTTGTTCTTGGGGTAGATGCCCAGTAATGGGATTGCTAGGTCAAATGTAATTCTATTTGTAGCTCTTTTAGGTATCTCCATATTGCTTTCCACAGAGGTTGTACTAGTTTGCAGTCCCACCAGCAGTGTATAAGTGTTCCTATCTCTCTGCATCCACACCAACATTTATTGTTTTGGAACTTTTTGATAAAGGCCATTGTCACTGGAGATAAGTGATATCTTATTATAGTTTCGATTTGTATTTCCCTGATGATTAGAGATGTTGAGCATTTTTTTCATATGTTTGTTGGCCATTAGTCTACCTTCTTTTGAATAGTTTATGTTCATGTCTTTGCCCACGTTTTTTTTTTTATTATTATTATTTTTGAGACAGAGTTTCACTCTCTCACCCAGGCTAGAGTGCCATGGCATCAGCCTACCTCACAGCAACCTCAAATTCCTGGGCTAAAGCAATCCTTCTGCCTCAGCCTCCCAAGTAGCTGAGACTACAACTATGCACCACCATGCCTGGCTAATTTTTTCTATATATTTTTAGTTGTCCAGCTAATTTCTTTCTATTTTTTTTTAGTAGAGACAGGGTCTTGTGGTTGCTCAGGCTTGTCTCCAACTCATGAGCTCAAAAGATCCTCCCATCTTAGCCTCCCAGGGTGCTAGGATTACAAGTGTGAGTCACTGCACTCGGCCTTTGTCCACTTTTTGATAGGGTTGTTCGGTTATTTCTTGTTGATTTTCCTGAGTTCCATATAGATTCTAGTTATCAGCCCTTTATCAGATATGTAACATGAGAATATCCTCTGCCATTCTGTAGGTTGTCTGTTTGCTCTTGTGATAGTTTCCTTGACTGTGAAGAACCTTTTTAGTTTGATCAGTTAGTTCCCATTTATTTATTTTTGTGGTTATTGTGATTGCCTTTGGGGTCTTCTGGAAGTAAGTTAATGGTGGAAGTAAAGTTAATGGTGGAATAAAATGTTGGGGGAGGATTAGGAGAATGCATGTTGTACATAACTGCATATGAGTTTGGGGGTGATAGAGGGAGGACTATAGTGAGTTGAGTGGCACTCCCCCCACAAAAAATTTACATCCACATAGAACTTTATACTGAGAATACATTACCTGCATCACTGGTTCTGAGGCTTTCAGACTTGTTCTGGGCCACCCCACGAGCTTTCCCAGTTCTCATAGGGATCCATTTTGATCTACAAATATAATTCTAGCATCCTTGCTATATTCTCTTATAGAATTTTACATAAGTATCAGTTAAAACCTTATCTTAATGATTAAAGAAATCATTTCTTTATAGCTCCTATAATATACACAAACTGCATTTTAAAAGAAATGAAAACACCAAACATTTTTTTTGTTACCTCAGAGATTGTCAAGAAGCAACATAAAAAATATCAGTGGTTTTGCTTCTAGCCCAGTGATACTTGTGAATTTTGTAATGATAAAGTTCTCTCTCTTGAGGTCTTTTGTGTGTATGGGTTTCTTCAAAAAGATATGTGGAGTGGTATTTTATAGCAGTTTTGCCTTGATATATTCAAAGACTATTTTATTCAATGGGGTATTTGACCAACATTTTCATTTTTTGTCTTGCTTTTATGTCTTCATTGTTGATCTACAGGCTAATTGATCTTGAGACTAATGTATTCAGACTGATCCAGCATGGTGCAGGGGTTGGGTGCCTGGTAACCTCACATGAAACAGCAACATTACTGGGCCTGTTACACCCTGAAAACCTTTTTGTGGAAAATCTGAGGTAAAACTACTTCTAACTCTTGTGTCCTTGGGCCTCAGAAAACATAGACATTTGGAATGAATAAAGTATTTAAAATATTACCATGAAATTGGAAAAACTCAGAATATCAATTCTTTATTCTCAGACTTTAGGTGATGTTTTAAAGAATTCCTTTGCCAAATTTCAAATATCAGATTGATGCTTTAATAAGGTCTTGAAATATGACCTGAGAGAATAAGACATTTATTTCTTCTGTTCCTAGGTTGTTTTAGCTGATCATTCTATTTATTTAAACCACATATTCATAATTATATATATGTATTTTACATTCAAATTGCATTGTGGTTATGAGTATTTTCTTTGAAACGTATCATTTTTACAAGGACCTCATTTCTGAAGAATGGCTACAAAATGAATAGAAAAATATTGCCCAGCTGTTGCAGCATTGGTCGATTCAATTTTATTGCTATGTCTATTAGATAAGTATTGATTATGATCCAGTCACAGAGAGGACAGGAAGTCTGAAAATTTGTCATTAAATTTAGTTTGTGGAGTTAGTAATGTTTTACACTTGATTAGAATCAACTTCTCTACCTTAACACCTTCAAATAAGAGATGATTCCTCTGGGAAACAGAAGGGCACAATTTTTTGCCATTGTGCATTTCCTACTCCTCTGCTATCATCTCAACACAAGAGAAGAAGGTTGGTTGGCTGAGAAATACAAAGTACTTTGTTAAATGTGGTCTCTACTCCTGGAGTAATTCTGTTCATTAGTGTGTTTTTTCCTAAAACCCAAGGAGCTGATGAAAAAGCATTTATCCCAGTAGTAGCATAGGATCAGAAATGGTATAGGAATTATTCCTCCAGCATTTTCTCCCAGAAGGATTTGGGTAGATAACAGACAAATACAATCTTGTTCCTTTATACAGCAGGTGATTCTTTATTGTGCTCACATTCATTTTCATCTTCTGGCAAACTTTTGCATTATTTTTATTGGATAAGTGTCTGTTAGTAGCCTCAAAATCTAGGTAATTTATTTACAATGCAAAGGCAGTATGGTGACTTAGTTGGAAAATTTTTCATGGGGAAAATACCAAACTAATTAGATAATTAGGAAAAATTACCTAAGTTTTCTTTTTGAAAATTGATTTTTGGCATTTGGTAGATCTAATCAGTGAATTTATCTGTATAACTGAAGCAAATGGGATGAGTGTTGAATGAAATACCTAGTCAACACCAGCCTTCCTAACTGTATCATCCATCACCTTCTTAAGTAAACTCTCTGAACAGGGTCAATTATAAATTCAGAAATCATGATTTCTTAATTGTAATAAATTATGTTATACCGGAAACTGCTATGGGGCATGTTCTGCTTCCTTGGAACTATTTTATTTTTATTCACAGAGAGTAGGTAGCTTACTTTGTTCAAAATGCTATTTTAAAGAGCTCTTTGAATGTAGGATCGACACGAATTAAAATTTGTAGAGTAGGAATTTAAACCACACAAAACATTCATATATATGTAAATAAAAATATATTAGTAAGAAAAGTATATAACACTCTTAACATAATTTGGGGGTTTTATATTGTCAAGAAATAAAACTAAGCTGTATCAAAGTGTTAGTTCTACTTAGAGGCTTAGGACTGCTGTTGTAGAAAATACTTATTATGAGAAAAGAAATTATTCCTAGAATTGGAAATCATTTTTTTCCTTATACATTAAGAGAGGTATGGACTATTCAGTTAACAAGGGAAGTATAACACAGCACACAAAAAATTGCGCTATAAAACTATAATTTTTTTATTGTTGTGTTTACTGTTTGGTTATCTTTCCTGTGTATATTAATTGGAATCCCCACTTTCTGCACAATTCGAGTGATCCAAATGAATGCCAATAATTGACAGAACTTTCCTTGATCACAAGATGGTTACCTAAATTTGTTAAGGTCTCTGAGCTTTTAATTATGAGCAAGATGATTATGTAACATCTTATAGTTCAGTAGTTCAATTTTAGTTTCACATATTAAACATATTTTAGACTTTTAGTGATGTAATGTGAAAAGAATAGAGGGTTATTTGTGCATGGGAAGCTTAACCCACAAATGCCTGCTTACCTTTGTTACAAAATGTTTAGAAAGGCTATTGCAGTGTTGCAGGGGAAAGATGTTGGAGGAGGACTATAGGGATGGATATGAAAATGAAAGAGTTTTTAAAATATTTAGGTGGAGAAACTATTCAAGGATTGATGATACATTAGATGAAGGATGAGAGAGAGGGAGATACAAAGGATGACTTTTAGGTCTCTGGGTTATATACTTTTTGATTTTTTAAACATGGAATTTATTGTGAACACTCATATATCTGACATGAGTACTGTCTTCTAAATTTGTGTTTCCTGGTTATCACGCTCCTTTATGTCTTTTTATATTATTCTCTACTATTATAATTCTGGTTTAATTATAGTTGTTCTTTGGTTTTCAAAACTCTACTTTTATTTGCATTTTCATTTTATGGATGATCAAGTTTATATTCTTAACAAACACTTTTACTTTAGTCTTTCTTTTATTAGTTCTTCACTTAGCACATTTTACCTACCCGATTCTTTTGCTGGCATTCCAAATTTGTGGAAATAATATTTCAATAATAACAGTTTTGATTCCAGATTTGAATTTTAAAAAGCATCTTCCTCTTCAAATTTTTTTAATTAAAAATTTAGTGAATCTTTAGGATGAGGTTATTGAAAATGTTTCACAATAACTATGTTTTAACTACATGACACAGTTCTTTTATACAGCTCAAGTAGCACATCTCTTTTCCTTGTTTTGACTGAGTCCTTCAGTAGTTGTGTTCCCCCCCCAAATGGCAAGATTTTATAGGGCAGAATCTTCTTCATGATCACAATAGTGTTAAAAATGTGATGAGCTCAATAACTGCTACATATTAGGCATGCCAAACTTGGTTGAGAAAAGTTATGAAATAGATATTTGTGTGCTCTTATATATTAAAAGATAAATCTGTTCAAAATATTTATCTTTTGGATCTATCCAAATGTGCTTTATTAAAAATGTTTTGGTCATCTTATATAAGATATGTGATAAGAGATAATTGATTTACCTTTGGAAATAGCTAGTTTTAAAATGTAAATATTTATCATATTTTCTTTTAATCCTAGCTCTTTTAATCCTAATTCTTTTAATCAGAATAGATCCATACATGCATAAAATATTTATTTTTAAAGTAAGTGTGAAAAGAACTGGATAAGCTTTTTTAATTTTAAAAACTTACATCTTCCTTCGGGTAAAGAGATCATTTGCTAATATTTTTCTGGGAACTTATTTCAAATTGATTCTGGAACTCTCCCAATAATCATAGAATTAGAATATCTAAGGTACAGCCAAGGAATTCATATATATATATATATATATATATATATATATATATACTTGATATTCAAATATAAATATATATATATACTTGATATTCAAATATAAATATATATATATACTTGATATTCAAATATACACACACACATTAGCAACAAGTTGATTCTGGTATTCCATGGAGTTGATAGTCATTGTTGTAGTTAATATCAAGGTAAGTGAAGCATAATGTATACATTAAAAAGTTTTAGGTTTTGTAAAGTGGAGTGAGAATTATGACCATGTCAACCACTGGGAGTGAACCAATTAGAGATGAGATATAAGACATATGTAATATTGAAATACTGCTCAATATTGAACTATTTCAATGTTCGCTTCCAAAATTGGTACATTGATGTTATGAAGTATTCCACTTTGAAATTCCATGTCAATGGCATTTCCTCTGAAATCTCAGAAAGCAGACTGGACAGGGGAACCTTGTACGCATGTATTTGCATGTAAATACAGTTATAAGCGAGAGATATAATAGACATATAGATATGTATAAACAGAATAAAACACTACTTACTATGCATATGCAAATATATATGACTTTCCTGTTGAAATAAAATTTGAGCATGTTCTTTGCACAAAGTTTTACTCCTCAATTTTAATCTTCATATAGTGATTAGCCTGCCATCACAAGTGACAGCTTTCTGATTTCCCTGTGAATTTACTCAGAACTCTTAATGGAAATGGTGGTCACTATTAGGCACAGTTGTATGTCCTCTTAAGACATAAATAAGTGTATTGATAATGACCTAATTATAGATAACCTATATGCTTTTCATAAATTTAGCTATAGAATAAGAAATGTCTAGTATTCTGTAAATGTGTGTTTACATTTTCTTTTAATTCAGAACTACCCAAGTGAAATATTTATGAAAATGAGCCAAAGTGTTTAGTACGAAACTAGAGCTATTATTACTTGATTGTATCCCCCTAGATCTAAATTTGAAAAATTTAGTTTTGCAAAGCAATTCAGATTTTCACAAAGAGGTTTACTCAATCTGAATTAAAATCCTTTTAGGGAAAGAGAATAGCAAATTCCCTTGTATTATGATGGATTTTTAAAAATATAAAATGTGAAATATTTCTCCTTTAACTTTATGGATTTGTTGGTAATGTCTATAATGGAGCATATTCTTCTGTGAATTTTTAATTTTTTAATTCTTTTTTCTTTGAAATTAAATTATATGAGGAGGCGGCCTGGAGGAGAGGCACGTAGATGGATCTTTGGGGAAGTCATTCAGATTCCAACCCCTGAGCAGTAAGATGTCCATGCTGAGATACTCACAAAGACATGATGTTTTGTGAATTGTCTGCTAAATTATAAGGGTTTACAGAGTTTGGTTTTCAATAAATTTAATTTTATAAATGTTTCTAGTGAGGAGATGTGTAATCCTTTAAACCTCACTTATCCTTTTGTGTGTGTGTGTGTGTGTGTGCCTGATGTTACTCCCCTAGCATCGGTAAATCACATGTAACTGATAAGCTTTGAGTTTGAATTTTACTTGTGAAAAGTATTTGGTAACATAGAATATTTGTGTTGAAAAAGTTTATTGCTATGATTTGAATGTTTGTGCCTTTCCAGAATTTCTATGTTGAAATCTAATCCCCCAATGTGGTTGGTATTAAGAAGCAGCACCTTTGGGAGGTGACCAGGTCATGAGGGTGGAGCTCTTATGAATGGAAAGAAAGCCCTCCTAAGAGTCCTGAGGGAGCTTGTTTGTACCTTTTGTCACATGAGGACACTCACTGAAGGTACCTTGCATGGGGAATGAGTCCTTACCACACACACTGAATCAAAGCCTTGATCTAGGAACTCTGGCCTCCAGAACTTTGAGCAGTAAATTTCTGTTGTTTATTAATCACTCACTCTAAGATATTTTGTTATAGTAGTCTGAATAGACTAAGACTGTGATCCTAATGATCATTTAACTTCTCAACTACATAGTATTATTTCCATCATTGAAAAATATATTTACATCACATGATGTCAGGCATTAAAATGCCAAGAATATGCTATTGAAACCCTACAGAATTTAGTAGGAAAAAACATGAGAAAAATAAGACCAAATGCTATGAAATGAATTGCTCAGTGCCTTGTGATGTCAGGACATTTGAATGTTGTGTTCAGTATCATTTCTCAGTGCCTATGCACACGTTTCTGTTGAATAAATGAAGAAATGGTAAATGAACTGCAAAGCCAGGGGTGGAATCTAGGCCCAGCTCCAGTTTATTATACTTCCCACTGCCTCTTATTTCCCAAGCAGGTTTTAGTATGACTGAATTGAATAAGGAAGGCAACTATGACTTTGGAAGATAAAACAAAGCTATCTAAAACCCATGGAATTATCCAGACACTTAGAATTATTAACCTAATATTGCAAATAAAAAGTATGCTTTAATATTCTCTTGTCGTCAATCTGGTTCACAGTACCAAATTGGAAGAAAATATATATAGTCAATAGCTACTTATAAGAATCTGCTAGTGCCTAAAGAATAAATTTCTTTTATGTGATTTAGTGGTTTCAAAACTGGGGGTGTACATGATTATCCATTAGGAAGCATGATGAAATATTATATTTATATGTATTTTTATCTAAAATATAAAAAGTTAAACATCGCTACTAATCAATTTTTAGATTCAACCTGGCACCCTCATAGACTCATGTTTTCTGCAGATAGCTTTATTTATGGTCAGTTTTCTCCCCCCAACCCATACTATACCTATCCTTACTCCCCTTCCTCTAGGTTAAGAAAGATTTATTTAATAAATCTGCATTTTGAGCCCAGGCTTAATTTTAACTAAAATATACTGTTACAGCAAAGGGCACGATTATAATAGTCTTTCATCTCTCTGTCAGAAGAACACTGCTGAAATATGATTCTTCTCTTTTCTTTCTTCTCTCAAAGGTATTGTAGTAGGCGTTAGATACGTTTTTTAATTCTGTTGCACAATATAGGCTGTGGAGAATCTGAGCAAAATGATTGATCTGGAAGTGGGACCCCATCTGTTGGCCTGTCATAGGCAATATTAATCTTCAATGCTGAAAATTCATAGGGATGGATATATAACTACTCAGAGATATAATAGAATATTCAAAAATTGAATGAAGCAATTTGTCTAAAGGAAGCAGCTGGGAACACAGAGATATTTATAAAAGTTTGATGTGTTTGTTATAATTGTTTAGTAACCACAGTAATAACATTCTTGGAAATGTATGTCAAGCTACCAAACCTTGAAATTTTACTTGGAAAAAGATCACCAATATTATTCATTCTATGCTCTCAAAACACTAATTAAGATTAGATAAATATCATTTTCATTCATAAACCTCTAGTTTAAAAATAATATTACTGATAATGATATTCCTTGTTGAATCAGAGTTATCTGGAGAGAGATGCAAAATGCTACACTTGTGCGCAGCCTTGTGGTACTAGGACTGCTAAAACTTTCACTTTCTTTGGCTTTTTATTAACATTGTGTTTCTGTATCATATCTGTTATCATTTTTTTGTTTCTTAAAATAATGTTTTCCTTTGTTTGGCAATGTGTGCTAGGAGGTCTCTCAGATTTAAGTATCTCACTACCTACATTTTATTAAAAATATTAAGATCATTAGGTCATTTGGCATATTAGTACATTTAACAAGTAAGAAAAAAATTACTCATTATGATATTTATTGTTCAGATTTACTTGTTATGGTTATAAATGAAAAATTTTAAAAATCCACAAAAGTCTTGCAAAGAAAATAAGAACATAAAAGATGTGAATTTGTTCCTATCAGCATTAGCCCACTTCTCTTAGAAAGGAAGTGCTAATATTGAATTTCTTGCCTTCTTGAGTCCTACACACTTACACCTTTCTGTCTTATTTCTACATTGTGTCTGAATTTTCCACATCTTTGCAACAGCCATATTTCACAATTCAAAACAGTAACACATTTCAAAGAAATACAACTCCCATTAACAGTACAACACCTGCTAGATTTTGTCTCCCCATCACTGTCACTGGAGCATTTGCTTTCCCAAGGGTTTCCAGAAAAGGTCTTGTGCTTGTGCTACAAGGTAAACAGCAATGGCTTTCAGTGGAACTTCATGGGCAGTCTGGGTGGTTCTTTGGCTTTGTTGCGGTGACTTTAACCTTCTTTATGCCAGTCACCTTAGAGCTCACTACACAGTGCTGCTAAATAAAATGCAAATTGACTTTGACGTTGATTCCTGAAAATCCAAGCATTAATTCATAATTATTTGACATTCTTATTTGGAACTACTCTTGTTTCTTTATTGATGGCATATTATCGCTAGGTCAGGTCTCCCTAAGTAAGTAATCTCATGGACATTTTTTACTTGTCTCTCCTCAAGTTTGCTTAGATTGACTATGGCCTGTTCCTTGGACTTGCCTCCAAGGACTCTGAATTTTTCCACACCCTATTGAGTGCGGCTGCTAATCCCTTTCAAGGTCTAGAGGGTGCTTCCCAGGTACCCAGAGTGAATTTTCTGGTGTTGTACCTAATCTACATCCTAAGTCAAACCATCTTAAATATACTCACGTTTAATAAAAATTCATTCAGTCATTTTTATACGGTGTTATAATGGACAGACAGAAACCGTGATTTTACTATTATATAATTTGATTAAGACTGTAACAGTAATGCATTTAGTTAGATTAAGAGATCATAGAAATTTCTATAACTAATCAAAGTTCCTTACTCAAAGAAATTTTATTTAGTGGATAAAATTTAATTTTTTAAAAATAAGTTTAAAGTTTTAATGACATGAAAATGGTTTGGGAAGTGAACATTTTTCATAACAAGGTCTCAAATTATGAACATTCTCATTCTTTATTTTGTTAATAAGAATTTGTGGTTTCCTGCATAGAACTCTCCTCTTTGACCTGTTTGTCTTTCTTTCAATTGTGCATATATACTTCCGTTGAGGTTATCTGCATATTTGCATCTACAATTGACAACAAATACAGTAAACAAATTATGTGGAATATGAGTTTTAAACATGCACTCAACAACAATAAACAAGCCTTTTACTTTACATGTGGCCTGAACTTTAAATTAAGATTTACTTAAAATCCTTTCTTCAGGGAAGTATTTTATTGGAAGCACATTTTGATCATGTGGAGAGCGATACTAATTCAAAGTAGGGTTTGCCCATATAACTATCAAGAGGAGGGAGGGTGTGATTCTTTCCACGAGTTCTCCTTTTCATCTTCATTGAGTCTGGAAATATGAAACATGAATAATATAAACAGAAAGGTATAATTGTAAGGTTTGATGTGATTTGTTCATTTTGATGCACATTTCAAACTAAAATTTTCATAGGTGCAGAAATCTGTCACTTCAAGCTAGTCTTTAAAAAAATGTTCCTAAATCATTTGTGCATATTCTGCATGAATATTTCCTATTCATGCAATAGAAATTATTTGAAAGAAATAAATCCTAGGGAGGCACTACACATCCCAAAGTTTTATACCCTTATGTCATTGTACTGTTTGCTTGAGAAATACATTGCAGAAAATTATTAATAGATGGTCAATATAGTATATTCATAGGTTGCTACACTTTCTGAATTCTGATCTCAGCTCCACTACTAAGTATCTGTGTATCTCTAGCAAGTTATTCAAGCTCTCTTTGTTCCTGAATTTGCAAAGTGAGATAATAATAGCAACTACCTTAGGGTTTTTTGAGAATAAAGTATTTAATATAACATAAAGCCTTTAGAAGTGAGACTGGCTACCACTTTGCATAACAAGGCACTATTCATGTTGAATTATTTGTGATTTGTGTCTGCTAGAGCAGACTCTGTCAAGTCTACATGGCATATATTCACCAGTTTTCTATAAAGATATTCACTTTGGGGCAAAACCCAAGTTTGTTTGTTTTTATTGTTGTTGCTTTTGGTTTTGCCAAATGATTAAAAATTTTTTATGAGACTCTACATAAACATTTTGACATAATTGATGAGAGATAAACAAGTTATCCATATGTCATTTTCATTTCTAGAAAATTAAAGAATAGTATACACTATCTCAGCATTTCTCAAAGTTTATTACCTCCACGAAAACTTATATTTACATGAAAGATTTAACTGAATTATAAGGAATTTGAGGGGCATTTAAAAGAAGGTTGGGAAATGCGAGGGAAGAGGATGAGGCGCCGCGCCGCGCGTGCGCAGGGGGCGCTCGCTCTGCCCTCCCTGCGGCCTGTGGTCGCTCCTCCTACAGCTCTGCAATTGGTCCGACCCGCAGCGAGGGGGCGGGGCCAGGCCAAGAAAAGCGGGCCTTTGAGCGAAAGGCGGGAAAATGGCTTATTCCTCTGAGTGCGGCGCTGGGTGAGTTGAGGCTCCACGGGCGGGCGTGGATGGGTGGGTGCCAGAGGGAGAGGCAGGGTCGAGGCCTAGGGCGGACCGGGCAGCACAGTTGGGGAGTGGGGGCCCTCAGGGCGAGTCTGGAGCCGACCCCTGCTAGAACCGCTTGGAATGCTAAGCTCCCGGGGGGGCCCCCCAGCGGGCGCGAGTTTTGCAGCCTGGGCTTTGAGACTGAGTGATGGCGGGCAAGTGGCCTAACCTGTCTGCGCTTGGCTTTCCCTCATTGTAAAATGGGGCTAATGACACCGCACAACGTCTTAGGTGTAGTGTAAGGCTTAAACCGCTTAGACCCATTGCCTGGGTCTTAAATTGGCTGAAGCTCTTGGAATTGTCGTTATATAGTGAACAAGTGGCAACCAAATGGCTCCTTTCGTTTTCTGCCCTGCTTTATTCTGTGCTCCCCATTTGCGAAGGAGAGGATGGAGACTCGAAGACATTTGCCCAGGGTTACACAGCCGAACAAGAAAGAAGTTGAGCACTTTACCGGGCGCCAGGCATGATCCTGAGGCTGTTTGTGTAATTTGTTAATTTGGCCAGTGTTTATTGTCCTTGTTGTGAATTGACGACGTGAAATAGGCCAGCAGGAGGAATCACTCCGCTGCCCCTTGCCTTAATTGTGAGATTTACATTAGTGTGTCCGAGTAACAGGTGAGGTACCTGAGGCTCACAGGTGTAATGACTCCCAGCAGGTTAGGCCTGGAGCCCATTCGGTTTGATTCCAGAGCCCTGGCTGAGAATCCAGAGGGAATCCAGGTTCTGTCCCTGCTGCCTCTGACACCCACCAGGGGTGACCTGTGTAAACAACCTCAGATGCTGGTCTGGAAAATGAGGAGAAATCAGGTGAACAGTTAGGAATCTGTAGGATTGAGAGGATCCCGTGAACGAGCACAGCTGCTGGCACTTGGCGAACATTTGTTAAGTCGGCTCTCCCATGATGGGCCGGAGGTGTCCCCAACACATCCTGGGTTTCACTTCGGGGTGCCAGGAGCCTACTCCAGAGGAGGTGGCTGCGGTGACCACTGGAGCTGCTCCTAGTGGTGGCAGCAGGAGTTCCAGTGCCTGGCCTTGTCCCTGCTCCTCCTGTGCTACTGATCTCTGTTCCTGGCTTCCTCCGCCTCCCACTCAGGCTGCAACCCAGGAGTCATCCCAGACTCTCCCACACCCCCACAGCTAGTCAGTGATTCCTGTCTCACAGCCCTTCTTTCCTGTGACATCGGGTGTCGCTCATTCTATGTTTAAATGAGGTGAAATACACATAGCATGAAATTAACCCTCTTCAAGGTACAGTTCAGTGACATTTAGTATGCTCACAGTGTGTGAAACCATTGCCTCTGTTCTACTTTCAGATTTTTATCCCTTCAGAAGGACACCCCATCCTCATTAGCAACCACACCTCACCCCCATCCCTCAGCCCTTGGCAGCTGATAATCTGCTTTGTCTCTGGATTTATCTACTCTGGACAGTTCATATAATTGGATCCTATATTACAGGGTCTTTTGTATGTGGCTTCTTTTACCTAGCACAATGTTTCGGAGGTTGATCCTTGTTAGAGTGTGTGAGAAGTTCACTCATTCCTTCTTAGGGCTGAATTACATTGAGGCTTCCTTATTTCTTGACAGCAGTTTGCAGCACCTTCTAAGTCTTCTGTCTTCAGTCCCGGGCTTCCAGTCACCCATTCACCATGGCATGGGCTCTCAGCCTCAGCACTGTTGACATCTGGGGCTGTATCATTCTCTGTGGTGGGAGTGTCCTGTACATAGGGCATCTAGCAGCTTCCCTGGACTCCACCACTATGCTAATAGCTCCCCCTTTGTGTGACAATCAGTAATGTCTTCACATCCAATAGGATCCATATCGCCTAAGGAGAGACAGCAGACAGCTCACTTGCTCACACTCTGTTCATGCACCCACAAAGAAGAGGTCATTTGAGTATGACCTCTATGGTTATGGCAGGCACCTATAAGCCAAGAGAACTGTCCTGAGAATGAAACCTGCCTTGCTAGCACCTTGAGTTCAGCCTCTGGCTTCTAGAATTCTGAAAAATAAACATGTTGTTTTAAGAAAAAAAAAAAAAAAAAGGATGGTAACCTTACTCATTACATTTTATTCAAATTTATACAATTATAATAAAAAAGATAATAGGGAAGATAGTAAATATTTAATTTATATAAAACTTCCAAAAAGCTTTTTATTTTTCAAAGGAGAAACTGGATATTTTCTCTATGAACATAATTTTTATATACAAGGTTGAAAAGTACTGTAAAATTTAAAAGTTTGTCTGAATTACATATAACTTCAGTTTGTTGCATGCATCTTGATGGATGAGATAAATTCCCACTAAGTAAGCTAAAATAGCAGCAATTATTAAGTATTTTTAGAGTTTTCTAAAAATGGAACTTTTTAGTATTCAACTAACAGTGACAGAGGCGTTTTGGTTCGTTTGCACAATACATTTTCTAGTAGAAAATAATAATATGTAATAAATAGCTGTCACCTACATACTTTGAGTTTCATAATTTAGGAATCTTGCATTGTTCATTGGTGTATTTCCCTTTACCTATAATACATTTAGGTAATACCTAAATCATTTTGTGGATAATCTTTGATTGATAATATCGAGAGAAGAGTAAATTAGCATTATGCATGTATATGTAATATTTATAATGCACATATATTACACACTTTAAATGCATATATTATAAAAATAATAAAATGCTAATGGGCTTTTCATCCTTTTGGGATTTTTTTTCTTTGTACACACAAAAAAATGAAAGCTGAAGAGTCAGTCTACTGTCAGGTTTCCTGTTACAATTCTTTTTGCTTTACCTTTAATTATTAGGATTAAGCTTCTGTTCTGTTGTATTAATTCATTAATAAACTTTGTTTTCCTCTATAAATCAATTGTCCATCAGGAAATTCATTCTATTTCCTTCTGAGAGCTACCACATTCTCTGTTCCATTATTTTGAAATTATTTGTTTGTCTATGGCGCTTCTCTATTTTTTCTTCACACAGAAGGGGAAAAGTTGCCTCTTTTAAACACAATGAAATATTCTTCCCCATTAATTTACAGAATTATAACTTTCTGGTAACTTCCTGAACCATTCTTAATCAGTAATAAGTTACAGGACACACTCTTTGTTTGCTCCTACATAGCTACTTGTATTTGTGTGTCATGGATTGTGAAAGCATTGCACACAAAAATTTTAGGTTTTCAAAAGAAGATAATACATAATATTTAATCATAACTTATGAAGATTTTTAATAAAAATAATTATAATATAAAAATATTTTGCATTACAGTTTTTACTTTCAAAACAATGATTACAACCACAATTACAACTAGAATTGTCATTTCATTATTCCTTTTTTAACTGTTATATATTCTTTTATACATCCATTTTTTTGTATTGGTTTTTTATTACTCTGCTGCCCTCTAATCATAGTTTGAATACAGTTCTCTAGTAGTGAAATCAAAGAACTCAAAAAGTTGCAAATTCACAATGCCCAATTTTTAAATAAATAACTTATATTGATTGTAAAGCATTTTGGTTGTGCTAAAATACAATGTTATATTAATTTTTTACTAATGGAAGAAATTTGAAGGAACACAAAACCAAAATCTAGACACATAAAACAAAATCAAACAAAGATGGTACATATACTGATGTGGATAACTTTATTTCCTATAGTCTTCCTCAGGTTTCTACCTTTAAATTATCTAGAACATAGGCTTTGAATAAAGATTTTATTGTCATTTTTATTTTATCTAATTGAATAATGTTTATGAGGACAGATAATACTTTTTTATTTTTGCTGAAAAGGGGTCATTGTGTAATCCTGACATTATTCTAGAAAATAGAATTGCTGCAGCATTCAAAAAGAAACAACAAACAAAATAATGGAAATTTTTCTAACAGCTTTCAAAAAGCAAGTTTGAGCATGCAAACAAGAAGTTTTGTCTTTTGATGACAATTCTTTTTTTTTTAGAAGTATTTTGTCAATTATTTTGTGCTGTATGTAAATGGCAGATTATTCAGAGGACATGACAGGTAGAGCAATAGATTGTCCCATGTGAAAACAAAGAAAAAATTAGTTATCTAAGTGTCTAGGTTAGTATTTTTTACTCTCCTGACAGATGGCAGAAATAAGAAGAAAATTCATGAAAAATGTAGGAGAAAGCCCCATTGTCAATAAAAGGAGAAGGAAATAAAATATCATGAAGATGATAATCAACAAAATATCAACATGGTGAGCCTCAGGAAGGTAAGGTTTTCTGTCTAATTTCTTCATTGATGTATCCCAAGTACCCAGAGCATAGGAGACACAGTATTTATTGAATGACTGGGTGAATAAGTGACCAAAGAATAGCTGCCTGAGCTTGCCTCATAGAAGATAAAACTCAAAGGAAGAAAGAAAATGCAAAAATAGGTGCCAGAGATGGACCTAGGTAAGAATGAATCAAAGACACCTAAAGTGATCTAAACAAAACTAGGTTATAAAAGAGGGAAATCTCTATGGCCTCTGAATATTATTATCAGATGATTTTAGTTACTTCATTAGATATGTGTTTTTTCTATGCCATGTTCTCATATAAGTTCAGCTGTGCCTAATTCAAGATCAATTTCAATTTAACTATTAAAATATTTTTATGGACATAGAATGTATGGAAGGTAGTAGACTAGACATAGGAAAAGTTTGCTTTGAAAGATTAAATATAATGACCCAGATTGACTATTTCTATTTATAGTCCCAGGGAAATCAAAACTATTCACTTTTTTCCCCCTAATAAAATGTTAGGTTTGAGCCACCCTACATATTCAGTGGAAAAGTTCAGAAGATTTGCTTAAAGACTCACACATTTTCTATGGCATTTCTGGAGGTGAGTAGGTTAAGCAAACACAGAACAACTTGCCACCTAAACCTTTCTGAGATAAAACCTTCTGTTATAAAAAGATTACAAAAGCCTGGAAGTCATAGTTCTCTTAAGGTGACAGAAAAGCTGTTTGTTCTCTGAAAACAGAAACTAGATACTTTTCAGGTCACGAAGAATAGCCCCAAAGATCAAGCTCGAATGCCAAACTCCAGCCTCTGTGACAAGTGGGGAATGACATTTGAGCTCCATAATATGTACATGTTTTGTTTATTCATCTATCAATGAACAGTTAGATTGTTTTTACCTTTTAGCTATTGTGAATAATGCTGCAATGAATGCCCACTATGGAAAAAACTTATGGAAGCTCTTCAAAAATTAAAAATAGAAATACCATCTAATCTAACACTCCTGGACCTTTATCCTAAGGAACTGAAGTCTGGATCTTGAAGAAATATTTATACATCTATATTCTTTTAATTTTTTTTAGCACTCATTATCTGACATTATCTTACTGACCCATTTAATTCTTTTTTATTTTTAATTATTATGGGTACATAATTGTAGATCTTTATAGAGTGCACATGATGTTTTGATATAAGCATACAATGAATTAATAAAATCAGAGTAATTGGAGTAGCCATCATCTCAGGCATTTATCATGTCTTTGAGTTAGGAGCATTCCAATTCCACTCTTGTAGTTAAAGTATACCTTAATTTATTATGGGTTATCATCACTTTGTTATGCTACAAAATATTGTTCATTCTTACTATCTAATTATATTTTCTTTATTTTTAATCATCCTTACCAGAATATAAGCCCTTGAGAACAGAGATCTTACACATCTTCTTTACCATTGAATCCACAGCTATCAAAATATTGCTTGCCACTTAGTAGATGTTCAATAAATAATTGTTGAACAACTGGAAAATAAAAAGCAACTCAATGAGTGATTGTTTCTTCTTTCCAATCTGTACTCTGCTTTAATGTAGGTCAGTGTTAAACTATGTCAGAGTGTTTGCAGCTGTTGAGATGGAAGGCATATGCCAAGTCATGGTACTTTGAAATCTTTAGGGATCATAATTCCATTCTGTGGAATTTTTGCTTAGTCTTCTGCAGTGGATGTTGGCCAGGCCCAGTACAGGCCCCATGACACAATAAGAAATAGGATGTGGATGCTTATAATTTTGGGCACAGCTAGGAATTCCTTCAAGCTCCTTATGTGTGGGACTTGTCTTGCCCATTCTCTAGTGCAGGCGTCCTCAAACTACAGCCTTCCAGCTATGTGCCTCCAGCCTAGGACATTTATCCGGCCCACCTGGTGTTTTTGCCACTGTTGCCTGTCCTGCTTAGCAGCCGACTCTTCCCAGGCCCACAGTGCGCATTCTCCAACGGTCTGAGGGACAGTGAACTGGCCCCTGTTTAAAAAGTTTGAGGACCCCTGCTCTAGTTCCTAGAAAAATAGCACATGCTATTCTTTGAGAAGTATTTGTTGAAAGAAGGAGAGTCATAGACCCTTGTGTACTTGTGTGACCTTACCTCCCAGTTGTAAAGCAATGGGCTTGTTTTCTCTTCACTTTCCTTATCCTGTAGTTCCTTACTTTGTGTCATTGCTCATCTATCTGTTCTGTTCTTAAATAGGCAAACACTTTGCAATTCCTTTAATTGGTCACTTGCGATTGTGATGTTGAACTTTTACTTGCTGAGAGCAAAAACTACCATTGCATCCCAAATGCTTACCATAGTGCCTGACACAGAGATGGTGCTCACAAATATTTGTTGAGAGAATTATCAAATGTATATTGTGTATATCTTATATGTGATACTCATCACAACTCAAATTTTGCCAGTATTCATTGAAAACTTAGTGTTTGCGAAGAACTATGTGTGCCAGATGTCAAGGGTAATATATTAAAATGTGAGAAATATTCAAAGTCCTCTAGGGACAGTATGAGTATGTAACCAGATGTACTTAAGACAATCAGGTAAGTAAAAAATATGAGATTCTCTATGTGAACACTTCAGAATGAGAGGCATAAAGAGAAACCGTTATAAAAATGTAAAGGTAGACTGAACATATTGGGCTAACTGGAAAGGAGATAATTTGAACTCAGCTTCAGAGAGTGTGTGAATTTGCATACAGGGGACAAGGAACTGCATTAGGAATTGGTTAGGTTAGTGTCATGCTTTCTCTAGTTCACTGTGCCCCAGGCATACTTTTCCTTTTTACAGTTACTCAACTGAGCCAAGTTTTTTCCCTATCTGAGGGCCTTTGGCATGCAATTTTCTTTGCCTAGAATACACATTGCTCTCCTCCCTTTTCCCCCATTCTACAAGTTTCTTTTCAGTTCTCCTCTGAAATTTTCTTTCTTTATGAAAAATTTCCCTCTCTCTCCTCTCCCTCTTCACCCCAGACGATCACTGCCTTCACACCAACTGGGCCAGCTTCACCTACAATACACTTTCATAGCATTTCATAAATCTTCCTGGGACATTTATCATAAATGTAATTTAATAAAACAATTAATTTTGAATTTGTTGTTTATGGTCTTAATTGCTTTATCACTGGACTCTTAGTTCCATGCTTGAAAAGATTTTATCATCCAAATAAGCAACTAGAATAATAATTTTGACATAGAGGGCATTCATTAAATTCTTACTAGATTACTAAATGAGCATGAGCTTTCTTAAATATAGGTCCAAACAGGTCAGATTCCCAAAAATGTTTGATAAACTTGAGCCTCATAACATCTGGGGTAAAATGTGTTAGTTTCATAATGGAAAGCCTTGAGATTACTAGGCCCAGCAAATGGCTATAACAACAAAAATTGAAAATTCAAAAAAACAGATAATTCTTCCTATTACAAATTTATGAAAAGGAATTATTGTTTTAGGAGATGTTCAAACAGCTCAACAACATTCACATTGAATAAAGACTTCTGTTTGAAGAATTCTCCAGGTCACTATTTCCACCTAGGCTGTCAATATAATTAGGCCATTAAGAGATTCAGTCCTATCCATGTCAAATCATGGTAACCAGTGATAGTTCCCTCTGGTCAAATCTCATGTGTTCTTATAGCTACTATAATTTGGTTCTTTGTTTGCTCCCAACACTCCCACCTTCCTAGCACCTTACTTGCATGCACCTGCTGTGGCTCTCAGAACATTTTAACTTTTTCATTCTGTTTCCATGTTCTTTTATTATAATTTCATATTATGGGGTGCTATAAATATTTTTCTATGGTATGGAAGGAAAGGAAACATCTAGTTTTTGAGAGAATATGGCAGCATTGATAAACCATGGGGAATATGAAACATGTCAGGAGCTTGAAAATCCCCAACTACTACTTAATTTTCTAAAAGTGTTTAAAGTGGATGTCAGAATCTATAGTCCCATAAGTTTAATGGCAAAACCCCTTAAACATTCTGGAAAAGATTTATATGGATTCTTTTGGAGATCTCTGGATAAAGAAATTAATGAACCATCATAAAATACCTATCTATAGCACTGTCTCGTTTTATAGGTAATAACTCAGGCCTGGTAGGTAATTACCTGATGGGTAAGATAATAACTTAGGCCTGAAGTATCTTGATTCAAAAATGCATTCAAATAAATCTTTCATTATATAGTTGTAAAGAGTAGATATACAACAGAAACCATAGAGTTAAATATATGGACAATTCGATTATAAAATCATTCTAGAGGGCACTACTAAATGAAGCAATATCAATCCAGAAAAGTGTCTCAAGTGCTAGGACACAGGGATCTGTTCTTCATAATTACCTTAAACACTGGGCTCAGTGAATTACATGAAGACATGTTGCCTTTTCCAGACTATATAGAATTATTAATATATAGCATGTAACCTTTTGAGTTTGTCTTTTTTCTCTTGGTATAATGCAATGGCAATTTACTCAAAATGTTCCTGTTTTAGGTACAGTAGCTCCATTTCTAGAGCTACTGATTACTGCTATTGCCTACATTTCGGGGGCTTGGCTCTCTCCACTGACTGCTTAGGCATTTAGGTTTTTCTCCTCTCCTAGTTTTGTAGTAATGATCATCTGCCTTTCAGTTGGCAAAATTTTGCTACTGTTGCCTCCTGTTTGTATGGGTTTTATAGGCCCTTTAAAAAACCATTTTATTATTTTTCTGTTACCATTTTAGGAGGCTACAGAGGAAAATATATACCTCTAAATTCTTCTTTACATGGAAATAAACAAAATGCTTGCTCACATTCAAAATATCTGGAGACGGGGAGGAATGGGATGGGAACAGATGTCTAGTTTTGGCTATGATGAAGTAACAGGGAAAGGAATTTCCCTTCCACTTCAAAGAACAAAAAATAAAAATTATATTGGACAAAAAGCACAGAATTAGTGATCCCTAGGATT